ACACCCACCCGCGCACGCGCGCACACACACACACACACACACACACACACACACACACACACACACACACCAACACACACACACACACAAGAGGACACACACACACCAACCCCAGCTTGGCCCCTTTTTTTGTTGATTTGTTTTAAATTTTTGTATCTTCATTTTTTTTTAACACCTAATTTCCCTACAAAAAACCGAAACTCATTTCTGAAAAAAGTACAGCACAACTCAGGGACCATATCCCTCATGATAAAAAATGGCAAAAAAAAATTCCTGCTTTTCTTTTTATTTCTTTTTTAATATTTTGTTTAAATCGAATTTCGTTTTTCATTTTTTAAAAATCTTAAACGAAGTCAGATTCCAAAATAAAAAACATAGGTTTGTAGGGTTTTCCAAGCCCTACACCCCTATATATATATATATATATATTTTTACGTATTTTTAGGGGTTAAAGAAAAATATTAAAAAAACAGGCCGCGGACTGGGCCTCATCGGCCGCGGCCGCGGCGGACTTCTTCGGCCGCAGCAGCCGAATAGTGTCACGTAGGCGGGCATGCCACTCCGGATTCCCGATTATCCAGACGCTTGTGCCGGACGGAATGCACCGAGTGGTTACTGTAGTTTTGGGTCTTATCTTTCCGTTGTACGAATTTCAGTTTTTTTTTGCTATAATGCTATCAAGTCCAAAAACTTTTGTTCTTGAATTCGTGATAACAAGGCACCGCTTATACAGTTATACCTATTTATGCAATTCTTTGTCTGAATAAATTAGAAGGTGTTGCTGCAATAGGTCTTGTCTTTGTTTCACTATTTGCTTTTAAATTACCTTTCATTAACACTTCATATGTATTATGTACGAAGTTCAACATTTAGACCCATTTATCAAAAAAAAATTTTTGGCTACTTGTGGCAGATTGTTTTTTTTTAACTCCAACGCCACATAAGTGACATAACGGATGTCATCCTCCTAAGAAACACCGCGTATAATATCATATCATCGCTTCTGAGGATCGGCAGAATCACAGTAATAAATTCGGCCTGACAAGTTCTAATACGTTAATTATATTAACTTCATAACTGTTGCTAACAAGAGTTATGTGTTGGGGTGCACATCACAATGAGGAGCTCCTCCATGGAGCATGCCCCCCCCCCCCCAATGAGAAAAAAGCCTGGGGGAAGGAACTCCACTCACCTAGAAGCTCCTGGCCTTGGACATTCAAGTGGATCCACCACACTACCTGGTGCTGCTTGTGGTACTTTCGCCAATAGCCCGCCTAACAAACCTGTTGTGACTGCACTTTTCAATTCCTCTGCTACCTGAAGAAAGAACAAAACAACAAAAAGAAACTCAAAAAAGAGACCATCAAATCAAATCAAAATTATCAAATCCAAGTCAATCGAATCCAATCAAACCCAATCAAATCCAATAAAATCAAATCAGATGAGATGAGATGAGATGAGATGAGATGAGATGAGATGAGATGAGATTAGATGAGATGAGGTGAGATGAGGTGAGATGAGATCAGATCGAATCTGACCAAATCCAATCCAATCCAATCCAATCCAATCCCAATCCAATCCAATCCAAACCCGATCCAATCCAATGATTCCAATCCAATCCAAATTAAATCCAAGCTAAATCCACTTCTGGATCAATTCAATCCATCCCAATCCAATCAAATAAAAAATCAAATCAAATCAAATCAGATAAACAATCAGATAAACAATCAGATCAATATGAAAACTGTTACTGAAGGGAACGACTCGCGTGCACCGATTCAGAGAGAGAATGTACTTCTATCTTCACTATCTACTGCGGGGACTTGCATGGATGCAAGAGGACAGAATCCTCATCGTCCCACTGGTCCACAAGGTTTCACAAGGTCCCAATTACCCGGATTCTTTGCGTACGATATATCGCGTCTTCTTGATCCCCAGTCAGAAATGATGAACCCAGGTGACTGGGACCTCGCTAGCCCTGTCTCTTATACACATCTAGATGTGTATAAGAGACAGCCCCTTCACGTTCCAACCCTGAACGGGACCCCGA